GAGATAGCACAACAAAACAAAACTTATTCACAAAAGTAATGAAAGAAAACCTCCCAAGCAGTGAAAAAGAATTCGACATACAGTAAACAAGGCATGTAGACCTCCAAATAGCCATGATCAGAAAAAAACTACACCAAGACATATAATAGTCAAGATTCCAGAAATTCAACATAAGAAGAGAATACTAAAAGCTGTTAGAGAAAAGAAACATTACCTATAAAAGAAAGCCCATCAGAGTAACAACAGACTCATCAACACAAACCCTAGTTCAAGAGAGTCTCTAGCGAAATATTTTAAGCCCTAAAAGAAAACAACCTCCAACCCAGATTGATGTACCATGCAAAACTATCTTTCAAAATTAATGGAGAAGTAAGATATTTCCATGACAAAAAACACCTGCAGAAATTCATGACCACCAAACCAGCACTCCAAAATGATCTGATGGACTAGAAAGGGATAACAAGGACTACAACTCCATGAAGCCCAACAGAATGAATCCACCAGGCAAGCAAGTAATTAGAGGGGGTAAAAAAGGAACCAACAACAGGAAAATAACATAATAAGGATAAGTCAATACATATAACCAATCTACATGGTCTCAATTCACCAATCAAAAGAAACAGACTGGAAGAATGGATCAGGAAGCAAGATTCAACAATACACTGCACATAAGAAACATATTTAATTCAAAAAGAAATTAACAGACTAAAAGTCTTATATGAGAAACCCAAAGTATGTATCATTTAAAAACAAAATAAATGATGATACGAAACAGGGAGGCAGGCCTTTTGCAGGTGAGAAAGGAGATCTATGGGTGGAGGGAGAGGAAAAGGAGGAAAGGGGAAGGGAAAGTAAAAAGGACTAAGGTGCGATATGTACATGTATTAACTTTCACAATGAATGTGTTCATTATGTATTACAAATATATACTAACAAAATATATAAAGTTAAACAGAAAAAAAGAAAAATCTAGAAATTAGTTGTGTATTAGTTAACCAAGAATGTTTTGATTCTTCTAAAAGAAAATTCTAAATCATTATATGCAATGTATACTTTATGATAATGAACACCACAATCTGAATAATTTAGCCAATGAAAAATTACCAACTCAAATTACTTAACTAGAAAACTAAAATTTCTTTGAAATGGTTTCTATTTAAATTATTTAACAAAAGCAAACAACAGTTAGGTGTGGTGTCACACACCTGTAATCCCAGCACTCTGGAAGATTGAGGCAGAAGGATCAGCAAGTTTAAGCCCAACCTGGGCAGCCTAGTAACTTAGACCTTGTCTCAAAAGAAAAAGATTTAGCAGAGGGGGTGAGAGGGATAGGGATGTGGCTTGGTGCAAAGACCCTGAGTTAATCCCCACTCCCATGAAGAGGTATGCATAGGGAGGAGCTGTTAGAAGAAATAAATTCAGGAGATATATTGTAAATGGGGTGACTACACTTAATAACAATGTATTATCTACCTTATTTACTAAAGATTTTAAGTGTTCTTACCACAAAAATGGTATGTATGCCTGTTAAGCTTCATTTAGCCAATCTAAAGTACAGGTACTTTTAAGTAAGTTTAAAATTATAAACATATAAACATTTTTGTCAATTTAACATATAATTTTTTTGGCCAGGCATGGTGGCACACGCCTATAATCCCAGCACTCAGGAGGCTGAGCCTAGAGGATGTGAGTTTGAAACCAGCCTGGGCTACATAAGTGAGTTCAAGGCCAGCCTGAACTGCATGAGACCATGTCTCTAAAAGACAAAAAAAAAACCATAACTTTTTGCTGGGCATGGTGGCGAACACCTATAATCCCAGCACTTGGGAGACTGAGGCAGTAGGATGACTGCAAGTTTGAGACCAGCTTTGGTTACACAGTAAGTTCAAGGCCACCCTGAATGCATAGTAAAGTCCTGTCTCAAATAAATAAGTAGGTAAGACTTTTAAGAAAGCAAATTGTCTGCATGAATACAACATTTCAAATTTTGTATTAAAAAAAATTTTGAAATGACCTTAACATTTTAACCCTTGATACTTTCTGTTTCATTTCTATTGGTTCAGACTGACCCAATAAATGGTTCAATGAAGAATGTGCAGTACAGGGCCTGTCTAAAATCTTTCAGGCAATATCATTCCAAGTGAGTAACAAATGCATTCAAGCTATGACATATTAAATATAATTAGGATGTTTACTAAATGATGTTTTCTAGAAACCTAATGTTTGCTAGGTGATCTCTCGCCATTGGATAATTCAGGCTCTTGCTTCTAACGCTAAAAAATGTTACATCCTAACCAAATGTATACTGTATAACATAAAACTAAGCAAATAATTGGATAGAAAATATAAAATCGTTCTATATAACTAATGCATATGCTGTGTCTTATTTACACAGGTACATATAAATTGTGTTTTACACTTTAATTCCTATGCCACATGCCAACATGTCTCACACAAAGCAGAAATCACCAGCACTTCACTGAGCAATTTGGAGTCTTCCTAGGAACCAGAAATGTTTTCACCTTTATAGGACTTAAGGAGTAACAATAACCTAACATCCAGAGCTACCATGGATGGTAGTACCACTTCTACCATGGCACACTGAGCTACCGTGAAGTTAGTACCACTTCAGCCTACTTTAAAACCAACAGTTTATAAACTTTCACTCAATACCCAACTACTTTCTTCAAAATATTAACATGAAAACAATAAAATGTTACCTGATTCTGACCTAACTTTTCTACGCAGAAGAAGCTGGAATCAGAATTATTATTTTTGTCTCTGCTTATAAAACCTTACCTGTATAAATCAGTTTAATCAATTTCCAGTAAGATTTTTAAAGTAATATTAATTTCTTTTTTTCCTCTACCCTAGAAAGAGTTAAGCAGTTGTAAGTTATTTGATTTTTTTAATTTTTTTTTTTTTTTTTTTTTTTTTTTTTTGCCTTTTTGAAACAGGTTTCACTATGCAGTTCAGGCTAGACTCAAACTCACTTTGTAGCCCAGGCTGGCCTCAAACTCAACAGCGATCCTCCTGCCTCAGCCTCCCCAGTGCTGTGATTACAGGTATGTGCCACCATGCTCAACTTGTAAATTGTTTTAGACCTAGACTTTCTAGAGTCAGAAATCATTTTAGCACTGCCAAAATACCAGCATTTCTGCTTAATCCTGGTATTCCTGAAGCCAAAAGGATCTAGTATGTCTCCTATTTTTCCATCCCATAAATTCACTAAAATTATAAATTTCTAATTCTTGTCTAAAAACAAATGATTTCAGCCAGGCATGGTGGTGCACAGCTGTAATCCCAGCACTCAGGAGGCTGAGGCAGGAGAATTGTTGCAAGTTTGAGACCAGCATGGGCTACAAAGTGAGCTTACAGCCAGCCTGAACAGCATAGTGAAACCCTGTCTCAAAAAGACAGTAAGTAAATAAATAAAATAAAAACAAATAATTTCTAAATGTATTATCTATTTCCAAGTATCTTAGCTACTTAGTGTAACAGCAGACACTAAACTGCATCTATAAGAAGAAAATACAGGGTCAGGGGTATAGCTCAGCGGCACAAATGCCTGTATGGCATTTGCAAGGCCCCAAGTTCGAGTCCCAGTACCAAAAAAAAAACAAAAAACAAAACAAAAAAAAAAACGATTTAAAGTTTTAAAGGAAAAATTATTTAGATATATCTTAAAATCAAAACATGAGAGTCAAACATGGTGGCTCATGCCTGTAATCCTAGCATTCAAGAGACTGAGGCAGGAGGATCACTGCGAGTTTGAGGCCAGCCTGGGCTACACAGTGAGTTTAAGGCAAATTTGAACTATATAGCAAGACCCTGTTTCAAGAAAAAAAAAGAAAGAAAGAAAGAATGAATTAACTAATTAATTCTCAGCTACTAAGAAGGGTAAGGTAAGAGGGTCACTTGAGCCCAGGAGTTTAAGGCCAGACAGGGCAACATAGGGGAGACCCCGAAAAGAAAAAGAAATATTCATTCTAATATTGATACAATTTCCTAGCAGCTAAAGACTTTCTTCTCTGAAGGATTTACACTAGGAGGTATGAGAAGTACCATGGGGGCCAGGTATGTAGCTCACGTGTATAGCACTTACTGAGCATGTTGAGACCCAAGGCTTCATCTCTAGTTCCCCAAAACAGCACCCTGAAGCAGTATGGTATACTGTAGTAGTAGTTAAAAAGTCTGGACTTTGAATCACATACTACCTATATGATCTGAGGTAAATTACTTAACTTCTCTGTTACATGAATTCCATCAGCTGTACAATCCGGACAAGTTCCCAACATAAACCTGTTCTGAAGATTAAACAGACAAAATCTTACCGATGATAGGCTTCTCGCCGATACTTTTTGAGGGCATGCTTATCCATATTTGCAGGCACATCTGCTGCATTCTGCAACCGATCACTCCAGGAGGTTGTCATTTTAATTGTATGCTGAATTCTAGAAAAGAGAATCAGTAATTTAGCTGTTTAAGATTGGTATCAGTGTACTGATACTTGATTGTTTTAATATTAGAAAAAAATCTAGCTTGCCAACAACCTAATAAATATATTAATAGTTATGAAAACTTTTTTGTTTGTTTGTTTTGTTTTTTTGGTTTTTTCCGGTGCCAGGGAGCGAACTCATGACCTTGAGCTTGCCAGGCAGGCGCTGTACCACTGAGCTAAATCCCCAGCCTCAAAACGTATTAAGTACTACATTAAATACTGAAAAATATACTTCTAAACTATGCGAATTAAAAAATAAACTATGTGAATTTAGGGAAAAAATTTCATATGGTAAATTTTATGCAGAAAGATCATACATAATACTTCCAAATTATTGAGCATAGCTACCAGTAATCATTAATCTTAATCTTATGTTCTATAAAAGGGACTGACATCAGGCAATTTTACATTGAATATATGTTATAGAAATGGACAAAGTAAACAAACTTCTTCTTTTTTGTCTTTTTGAGACAGGGTTTCACTACACAGTTCAGGCTCCCAAGCTGGCCTTTTAACTCCCAGTGATCCTCCTGCCTCAGTCTCCCAAGGGGTAAGATTACACACAAAGTCATTATGCCTAGTCCAAATCGGGTATTAAAAAAAAAAAAAATCTGTGAGCATGAAGATATACCACTACACAAAATAAGATAGAAAAAAGACAAATATTAACAACATATCAGTTGGGCGAGGTGGCGCACACCTGTAATAAATACCCACACTTGGGAGACTGAGGCAGGAGGATCGCTGTGAGTTTGAGGCCAGCCTGAACTAGATTGCAAAAGTCTGGATTAAAAAAACAAAATGAAATAAAAATCAGTTAATTGTGCAACATATGTGTCAATGGAGTCCACACAGGAAAAGGAAAATGGAGAAAAGAAGGGGGGAAAAAAAGTACTTAAAAGACACAGTAAGCAATTTTCCATAGTCAATAAAATTATGAACCCACAGATCCAAGATGGTAGCAAATCCTAAGCACACAAAACAGGAAGAAATGTACACAAAATCATAATCAAATTCATTAAAAACAGTGATGAGAAGATATTAAAACCAACAGCCAAAGATAGGTAGGAAAAAATAGAAGTACCCTACTGTTTAGATTTATTTATTTATTTTTGCCTTCTTGAGACAGGGTCTCACTATGACGTTCAGGCTGGCCTTGAACTCACTTGAAGCTCAGGCTGGTCTCGAACTTGCACCAATCCTCCTGATTCAGCCTCGCAAGTGCTGGGATTACAGGAATGTGCCATCATGCCCAGCTTGCATTTTTAATAATTTTATTGGTACATTTTAGGTACACATAGTGATAACATTAGTCACAGGGAATTTGTACCTGTACAAATTTTTTCCCATTCCCCAACCTATCCTTAAACCCCTCTTTGCATGCTTTCCTTATACAATTTTTCCTTCTATTCTTTTTTCATGTCCCTTCCTTCCTACTCACCCCTCTTGTTCCCCTTCTCATTTGAACATTTTCTTCCCACTTCCCAATATCTATTATACATTGTGATCCTTATTTACACTTTCAGTTTCTCACGCTAGAGAAACAATGCAATATTTGAACATATGTGCCTGATTTATTTCACTTAAGAATATGGTCTCAAGGTGTATCCATTTACCTAGAAATGTCTCAAGCTTATTCTTCTTTACGGCAGAGTAGTACTTCATTGTATAAAAGAACCACATCTTCTTTATCCCTTTGTTGGTTGATGGGCAGTTGGGCTGTTTCCAAGATTCAGTTATTACAAACCGTGCCACTATAAACATGGGTATGCATATGTTGCTGTGGTATGGCACTTTTAATTCTTTCAGGAAGATACCAACAAGAGGAATAGCTGGGTTGAATGGAACCTATAGTCCCAGTTTATTGCGCAATCTCCGCACTGATTTCCACAGTGGTTGCACCAGTCTGTACTTCCACCAGCAGTGGAAAAGTGGTCCTTCTTCCCCACAGCCCCACCAGCACTTGTAATTGGTTAAGTTCTTGATAACAGCCATTCTTTTTGGAGTGAAATAGAATCTCAGTATTGCTTTAATTTGCATTACTCAAATGACCAGTGACCTTGAACATTTTTTCATGTATTTATTTTCCATTTCTACTTCTTCATCTCTTAAGAAAGTGTATATTAATCTTAGATGCCCTTTTTTGGATTGGGTCTTTAAGTTTCAGGGGTTCTTAGGCTGGGGATAGAGCTCAGCAGCACTGAACCTGCCTGGCAAGCATGAGGGCCTGAGTATGGGTCCTGGTATCAAAAAAGGAAAAAAAAGACACTTTTGTTGGGGGAAGGGGGCCTCATTCTTTTTTGAGACAGAGCTTCATGTAGTTCAGGCTTGTCTTGAACACACTATGCAACACAGCCTAGCCTCAAATTCATAGTGATCCTTCTGCCTCAGTCTTTCTAACGCTGGAATTACAAGCATTTACCACCATACCTGCTTTAGGTCAATTTTTTGTCTTTTCTTTTTCTTTTTTGTGGTACTGGGAATTGAGCCTTGCACATGCTAAATAAGCACTCTACCAACGAGCTGTATCCCCAGATCGAAAACACAAGTGTTAAGAAAATGAGCCGGGCCTTCCACTACCATCTGGAACTTGTTATGAGTTGCTGGGTCTGAGTCCTTCTTCTACATGGTGTGGGCTGCGAGGTCCATGAGGAGGACCCAGGCTCCTGGGATCTGGGAATGGCTGGCCTTGAACTCAAAATCCTGCCACAGCCTTTGAGTGGCTGGAATGAAGACACCATCACCCCAGCCTCTCCTAAGATTCTGATAGAGGATGCAGAGTCTCAGCTCCTTCTGGGTCCAAGTCTGTGTCCCACCGGGATGGAAGAGTCAGGCACTCTCACTGTCAGCACCTGAGGTGGCCAGAGAGATGGAGTGCAGGAGACAGCTGGACAGACTGCCTCCTATAGCAGGAGTCAGTGACCTTTGAGGATGTGGCTGTGAACTTCATCCAGGAGAAACCGACTTTGCTAAAGCCTTCCCAGAAGAATCTCTACAGAGCTGTGAAGTGGAAGACCTTCTGGAACCTGGCCTCTATAGGTCAAAGATGGCAATACCAGACCACTGAAGATAAATACAAAACTCAAAACAGAAATCTAAGACATCAAGTGCTACAGAGATTCTTTAAACACAAAAAAAGTAAACAACATGGAGAAACATTCAGCAAGACTCCAAATCATAGAGTGAACAAGAAAACGTTTAGGGTAAAACAATGTAAAAGCCATGCGTTTAAAGTAGTGGCCAATAGTTTTTCAATGGACATCATAATTAAGCATGGACACAGACCATCTGGATATCAGGATGTACAGGGAGGCCCCATGAACGTAAAAAATGTGATAAAGCTTTGAAGTGGCCCTGTGACCTTCGAAATCATGAAAGGATTCACACTGGAGAGAAATCTTATATATGTATGCAGTGTGGGAAAACCTTCGCTTATTCCACCTACTATCGAAGACATGCACAAACTCAAACTGGAGAAAAACCCTACATATGCCAGCAATGTGGGAAATCCTTCCAGTGTTCCAGTTTCCTTGAAATACATGAAAGAATCCACACTGGGGAGAAACCTTTTTCATGTAAGCACTGTGCAAAAGCCTTCACTCGTGCCAGTACTCTTCGAATACATGAAAGAAACCACAATGGAGAGAAACCTTATGCGTGTGAGCTATGTGGGAAAGCTTTCCAAGAGTATAGCAAAATGCTAAAGCATGGAAAAACTCACAATGGGGACAGACACTGCGCATGTGAGGAATGTGGCAGAGTCTTCAGGAGCTACAGTTACTTGCAAAATCATGTAAGGACTCACACTCGCCAGAAACCCTAAATATAGAATGTGGGAAGCATATTTATCCCACAACCACCATAGCACAAATGAGAATGCCTAGAGCAGGGGCCTCTTGTCAGGGTAGATTGAGAAAAGCCTCTAGCAAATGGGTTCCATTCACAGGGTTGAAAGAACACAGTACAGAGAAAAACATCATTAGTAGAATAAATGTGCAAAAATCTTTAGTTGGCCCTCACGTAAGAATGTATGCTGGATTGAAACCCTATGAATGAGAAAAATAAAAGAAAGATGTCAGTTGTAAAAAAAAAAAAAAAAAA